GCAAATACTGAAGATGTCTCATTAACAAAATGTTACTACATAATAAAAGGGTGTAGGAGGTTGAATATGGTGGAAATATTATGTAATCCTGTATGGAAATGGAAAAATGAGTACAAAGGAAATTAGTCTGCCAATGGGGTGGGAAGATAAAGAGGATAATGGAAGTGACGTATCTACCAAAGATATTACAAGGACTTTTTAAAAGTCACAATGTACTCTCATTACAAACTATGATAATAAAACTTAAATAAAATGTAATGAAAGATGAAGAGATCTGGTAGAAATGAACTAATTCTTGTTGCAATACATATGTATATGGAAGCAATGCTAGAAATCTCTCTGTATTGCTATCTTTATTGCAAACAAGCAAAAATTCTCTATGTCTTTATTATTATCTCTTTTGTTTTCTCTTCAACAAAATTGAAGAAGAAGGCAGAACGGGTTCTGCCTGGAAGTAAGGAGGGTGGGGGAAGGGAATGAGAAGCAGTGTGAGAGTTGGCACAAACAATGTATACATATATGAATAAACATATAAACAAAAATGAAAAAAGAATGGAAAAAAGAAAAATGAAGTAAAAATTGAAAATCTGTGTTTAATAACATACTAATATTGTGAGATCATTTCCAAATTGAATCTAATTAACATAAAATCAGTGAATATGGTTTTCTTTATTTTGACCATCAGATCACCTGACATCTTCTCTTAGAAATTTTCAAATGTACAACTCAATGTTGTCATCCATGGCTACCATGGAGCACTTTGGGTCTCAACAAATTCATCATGTCACATGTTTCAAAGTTTAATGTGCACAGAGATTCCCAGCCCAGACACAGAGGAACACTGCTCTCTGGGCAGGATTCTGTAGATGCATTGCAGTGACTGCAGGATGGGGTACTCAGCATTGCTGAGCCACATGGATGATCTGACAAGAAAAAATGTCACCCTACATGGGTATAGCGGGACAATGGTGACCATTGAGTGAGACCACAAGGGTTGGGAGAGGTGGCCTTGTGTCTTCTGTAAAAAATGGCTTAATAATCTGATCTCACATTGAGAGAAGGTAAAGGGAGTAATACAGAAATCAGCTCAGGTTTTCTTTTCCTTAGGCTGTCTATGAGAGAAGAAGGGGATTATTTTATGACCAGAAAGCAATACAAGTGGATGGAGTACATGTGAGGACACAAGTATTGTGTGGTGACAGTTTCCCCAACAGGATCTCCAGGATAAATATTTCTGTCTTAAAAAGAAACTGAATGGCCTAATAACTGCATTAAATTATTAATATGAATCCATGTGACTGTGTCTATTATCACATTTAAATTACAGTAATAGCTGATCCAGTATAGGTAGACACTTGATTTCTCTCCTCACAGTATCTATGGATGACACAATGGAAACTGAGCTCAGACAAATGCTTTTCAGCCATTATGGGTACAAGAGATTTAGGGACATTTATGAGATAATGCAAAATATGTCATAGCTTTACTGTCTACCATGAAGACACACATAGACCAGTACCACCTTTCCCTAGTTACCAGGAAGCTGACATCCTCTCATGGGTAAGAGCCAATTTCTCCAAGACTTCTTAGGAAGCTGCATATTATTATGTCCTTGTGAAATTGGGACACATGTTGCTACCATGCCATGAAGTATTCTGACACATTCAGTATTGCACAGACATGAAAGACTTCCTCTTGTCCATGATGTTGATGTATGGAAGCACTATCTAGAAAGGCATATAAGTCAATGCACCTAGTGAGGGATATATGGAACACATAGGACCCATAGGTGAGGAATGCTGATATGCCCTCACCTGTGTGGATGCTGCCCAGCCTCCTGCAAAGATTTTCCTCTAAATAGCCACAGGTGAATCTCTTTTTATAGGTCTCACACTGCTTAGTGTTGAGAGACCTCATGAAGGACTGATGATGACACTGGCCCCCATTTCACAAAATCTGCCATGCTATATTGGGCTGAGGATGGGATAACCAAGTAAAATTTGTGTACGATATAACACCATGAGGACAGGTTTAATTGAAAGAAAAATGAGTTTTTACACAGGGCATGGGGAGTACATTCTTGTAATCCCAAATACTATGGAAGCAATGATGATTAGTGTCACAGTTCAATATCCAGTAAGGCAATGTTGAGTGGTGGCAAAACCATGCAGATCTGCATTTAATGATGTCTGTTGTGTAAGTCTCAGCCACAGTTATTATATCATAGTTGGAGCCTCAAGGACATGCAGCCACTCACAGATTCAGGCAGAATGCTATTGGGCTGTTGCATCTGAGCCCTGGATTCACTTTGGATATCTGTCCCCAGGTGTCTTATGCAAGGTGGAGTTAGAGCCAGGACCTGCCCTGGTGAAGCCCTCTCAAACAGTATCTCTCACCTGTGCTGTCACTGGTTATTCCATCAGCATTGATTATTGGTGGATTGGATTCACCAGCCCACAGGGAAGGGTGTATCTATAGAGATGGGGATAACAAATACATGCCATCTCCTCTGAGCATAGTCACCATGACTGCAGATATATCCAAGAACCCGTTCTGTCTCCAGCGGAGATTTGTGACCACACAGCCATGTATTTCTGTGGAAGAAACACAATAGATGGACATCATTGTGAGCCCAGATACAAACCTGCTTTCATGACACAGAGGCCCTGGCCTTCAAAAGGCACACAAGTCTCATCCAGACCTGAGGGACTTCCTTTTGGGCTAAAGGGTTATCTGTCCTCTCCAACAGCTACACTGACCCTTGGGATGACACTTTGCCCTTTACATTTTCTCTCACATTCTTACTGTGATAGCAAAGAAGAAGTTATTTTTCTTTTTACTGATGCTTTTGGGTCAATCACTACATGAAAATCCTTCATCAATTCACATATGACCTGCTTTTACTCCTGGACAAACAAAATATCCGAAGAATTCTCCTAATTCCTCCATTGTTGTCGTAGGCTGAACTGTGTTCCTCAAAATTCACACGTGGAAGCATAAGTGACAATGTATTAGAATTTTGAATGTGGCACTTAAAGAGATAATTAAGGTTAAATGTGTCCAAAAAGGCAGGGATACAACAGGTCTATAATCTTAAAGGGAAAGAGGCTGACATCAGTGCTTGCTAGTTCTCCTTCTCTCTCTCTCTCTCTCTCTCTCTCTCTCTCTCTCTCTCTCTCTCTCTCTCTCTCTCTCTCTCTCTCCACATTCTCTAGTTGGAAATGGTAGAAAAATCTTAGTCCTGGACAAAGGCTGACATGGTAGTCACCACCACCACCATATGCAATGATAGTGACAAGATTACCAAACATGATGGACATGCAAAAAATCAAGGTGATCTGAGCACTGCTTGGTGTTCACAAATTGAATGCTGGATATGATTTATGGTTGTTTCCTACCTCCAGGCCAATGATCACCTCATGCAGTTGAAGGAAGCGGTCTCAGACCCTCCCGGATGTTCCAGGTGACCTGTGCTACTTATACACTCTCAGTACCTGAATATTCTGCGTCCTATGAACAGTTATAACCAGGGACAATTTGAGTTGACGGGTGCAATCTGGCCTATGAGGAAGAGTAACGGGGTGACTTCAACTTCTGGCCCAGCAGTTTAATATTCAGGGAATCAGATGAAAACCAAGTGTGCTTACGCTAAGCAGTGTGAAACCTGAAGACTGGTGTGTACTTCTGTGCCCAAGCACTGTGATCTGCACACCAAGGGAAACAACACAATCTTCACTGCAGAGGTGCTCATAGCCAATAGGGGGCGTCCATGTACACAGGGTTGGCCAGGACTCACAGGAACTCTCAGCACCACACACAGAACCAGCATAAAGCACTCAGGTGCAGGAGAGGATGACCAGGGACAAGTATGTCATCCTCAGGAACCACTGTCCTCTGGTGCCTACTAGGAAGTCAGTGAAGGGCTCGTTTCCAGTCAATTAATTATATCCCCACATCTGGGAAATGATTTGCTGACATTCAGAGTGTAAAAAAAGGGGAGGGGTTATTGTTGAAATACAGGAATTCCCTCCATTTTTAGAATGAAATGTCTTGAAAATGATTCTTCACTTTCCAAGACTCAGGCAATGGGATCACTATAAACTGGACTGTCATGCTGAGAACTCTAATTGTTTCGGTGCAGAATGATCTCCATTTTATGGAAGAATAAACTCACCACAGGTAGGAGCATCACAACTGCCCCAGATACTCTGAATTCAAGGTCACTCTTCATCGTATTATAATCTTTGTGAAAGTGGAAGAAATCAAAATGGAGACTTTTTCCACCTCAACACAAAATAAGTAAGTAAAAATAAACCATTACTTAAAATAAATAATTGAATTTCATCACTTGATAATAAAAGAAATTACTTTGTGCATGTATGTCTGATAACAAGAACTACTCAACAATAGTATGTGGATACTCCACCATATCCACATCCTTGGACACTGGACATTGCCATCTCACACAAAGAAGGCTCTTTACGATATTTCCCTGGAAACTTTCTGATGTGTTTAGGGCCAGTTCAATCTATGATTTAACTTATTGTGTTCAAGTATCATTGTGTCAAAATATATTGTTTTTTAATTGCTTAGTAGATAAAGATGGAGAAGACACAGTTTAAGCTCAGCATGGGCAATAGGAATGAGATCCCCACCTCAACAACAAGCCAGACATCTGGCTCTTGCTATTATTTGCACATTTGTGGATATCATAGATAGGAATGCATTCTTCATATTCTTCCTGGCTCCCCAGGACAGGACATGCGTACTGAAAATGAACTTCAATAATGCTTAAGTTCAAGAGAAGTGGCAATTCAGGGGTGTAGGAGGACAAAAGGAATCCTGAACTCAGACCTTCTCCTTGTATGAGAAGAGGCCTCCCCACATGCAAATTATTATTCAGTGTCTGGATTAAATGCAAATCTCAAACTAGGGGAACAACTCCTCTCCCTTAACACAGGACTGAGGTATCTGAAGAGGGCAGGTATGTGGTCTATAACATGAGACTGCTGGGTCTTCTCCTGTGCCTGGTGACAGCCCCCAAATGTGAGTGTCCCTAAAGTCACATGTGAGTCCATGGGGAGGTCGTGATTACAAGTAACTGTATTGAATGTTTCTCCTTGTCTCCAGGTGTCCTGTCTGAGATACAGCTGCAGGAGTCAGGACTTAGCCTGGTGAAGCCCAATCAGATCCTGTCCCTCACCTGTGCTGTGTCTGGTTACTCCATTACCACTAATTACTGTTGGGCCAGGGTCTGTCAGCCCACGGGGAAGGGGCTGGAGTCGGTGGGGGAGATATGTTATAATGGTAACACTTACTACAGCACATCCCTCAAGAGCCGCACCTCCATCTCGAGAGACACATCCCAGAATGAATTCTCCATGCAGCTGAGCTCTGTGACCACAGAGGACACAGCTGTGTATTACTGTGCAAGAAGCACAGTAAGGGGACTTCAGTGGGAGCGCTGACACAAACTTCCATGCAAGGAACATTAGATCTGGGCTGTAGGAAGCACTGCATGTTCAATCAAACCTTTTCTCAGTCCAACAGCAGGTGTAGGTGGTACTGGTCAAGGACTTTCTTTGGTCTAGGTGGTTTTCTTTCTTCTCCAAGATCTCACATATCTAAAAGTGATGTCTCCTTCCTTATGATTTTCTGCTCTCTCATATGCTCACTGTGGCAGTAAAGAAGGAAGTGACATTCCTTCTTTGTAGATGAGATGGGACCAGTCACCAGTACAGCCAAGTAACACAATGAACCTACCTGTGTAACTTCCCACATACAGGTGAAAAACAGTCTCAGGTTGGCAGTCTGAGCCCTCCTCTCTCTGCCCCTGAGGACCCTATGATCCATGAACGATTATACCTCCTACTCCCCATGCACCCAGCAGCCCTTGATGGTCAGGATTTCCCTTTTTTCTATTCATGACTGAGGCCTCTGAAAGGAGAAGGTTTAATTGTGAGTGCAGAACTCAGGTAAAGACGAAAAAGACTTCCATTTCTTCCCTGCCTCTTGTGGGGCCCAAATAGTTGATGACCACAGGGCACTTCTCACAGCTCACACACCTCAGGTCAGAGAATGTCTGGATGTTCCAACCTGCAGGGCACCATGGTCACCAAGACAATGGAAGAGTGAGTGAAGACAGTGGTCCATGAATTAGATGGCAGTGTGGTGGATCCCAACCTCAACCCAGTACAAGAGGTTACATGACAGTCAAGCATCTGAGAGCTCCATTTCACCTGATTTTCAGGCCATTTACTTTTCCAAGTTTTACATATTGCACTAAGCAAATGTGGCACAGCTGTCCAGTGATATATGAGTAATCATCGTAAATATTGTACACTCTCCTGAGGCACTTTTCTATCAGTGGTATTTTATAGCTGCACCCTGGATTCAACCAGATAACCCATTTTCTCTATATTGACATATGTCTTGATTTAAAACACTAAAGAGGCAGAGAATCCTCTGTGATTTTGATCCTAAGATGGTCTGTGGAGGCCTGTAATATCTGTGAGTTCATGAAACATGTAGGATAGTTGCTTACTATATTCTGGTCCCAGTGGTTGAGAACTCTGGGCTAGGCAGACTCCCTACCACTTGAGTCATGGCTCCAGCCCTTTTTGATCAGGTTATGTTGGAGATAGGGTCTTGTATTTATTCCACCCTGCTATGAATCTGACCCTCCTATTTCACACTTCCTGCCATAGCTTGGATAACAGGTGCACACCAGCTTTTTTCATTGAGATGGGGCTCACACAAGCACGTTTTAGCAGACTAGTCTGGAAACTTGATCTTTCTTATTTCAGCCTCCACAAATAACTGGAACCAGTGCTTGGCCTTATTAATTTTGATTTTATTTTACACTTGTGTTTTTCCAAAATTTGTTTTTACTTGTAAGACCCACCTCATTCAATGAAGGTTTATGGACTTTAATCAGCATTGAATTTTGTTAAGAAATTTGACTTTTGATTTAAATTTTCATATTAACATTACACTATACTATCATTTTATCTTACCTTTCTGCCCACGGACCCCTGCGCAAGAGGATTGGTTACAAACATGGCTGTAAGGAATGTGATAATATAAGCGATGTGATCTAGTTGATGTTCTGGGTAATTGGGTCCTGACTTTCAAATGTCTGTGAGTCCCTGGCCTCTTCTCTCAGTTTTGTTCCTTGGCCATGACAAGAGGTCTTTTTCCCCAATCACACTTTACTGAATTTGCAGTCTCTCACTCACACCAACAGCTTACATCAACAGTCTGCCGGTCATAGACTGAAGCCTTTGAAGCCAGGTGCCAAAGACCTTCCGCTGTTAGGTGTTAGTCATAGTGAGAGAAAGTCTTTATTATTGACTTCATGTCACACACATCCCATGTGCTCATTTGTTTAAAACTTACCATCTCACATTTCAGTTGTATGTTATTCATACATGCCTTTTTGTTATTGAAATATGTGACATTTTTAATTACAGCCTGTGGTCTATTAAATAAAACACAATTACAAACACACATAAATTGGGTGCTATATTACTGTGTGCCCTACTATTCTGTACTGGGACATTGGTTTATCCCTCCCTGAGGAGAAACACTATGCAAAGAGTGAAGCTGAAAAGGAGTGTTCTGAGAACTAAGATGCCACAGAAGTCTGTAGTAACTTCTGACATTTCACTGAGATCTACAAGGCCCCAGACAGGATTATGGTTAGGTACATTCCCATTCAAGACCTGAGCAGTTTTTAATTTATCTCTATAACAAAATGATAAGGCTCTGGCCCATTACATGGTGGATGTTGAGGAGAAGAATGTGTGGGCACTACCTGGCTGAGGTCAGACACAACCATAATATGCACATTAGCTCTTTCCAAGAAGTGGAACATTCACTGGTCCAAATATTTAAATAGTATATCCACAATGATTAGCTAATCATGAAGCACAGTGATCAGAGATATTAGTGGCAACAGTACAAAGAAAGACTTATAGTGATAATTTACACCCTGAAAAACTAAATGGTAGAAGTAGAAAAGCCCTGGACATAGGTTGACATGATAGTCACCATCACAACACCATGTAATGTCAAAGAGTTGGTTCAAAATTATACTAGAAATGTAAAGAAACAAGATGTTCTGTTCAGTGCTTGGATTCTCAAAGGAAACTGAGACAGAAAGATCTCTTTCAGACTGGCATCCCCACAATAGCTTCCAGTGATGGAAGCCAAAGATGCTGCTATCTGGGTAACAAGGGAAAATTCAGTCCTTGAAGACTGCAGAGCATGGACCTCACATTTGTGTTGAATTTCATGGAAGTCTCAGTGACAATGCCAAGTTACACTTAGAACCTGGGTACCAGTGGAAAAGTCAAAAGTTTCCCTGGATTTGGTCATCACAGGGGACAGAAGGCTAGTCTTCTAAAGCCAGGTTAGCTGTTCACTTGTGACTCTGAGAATGATCCAGTGAGGACTGTGGACTGCATTACAACCTAGCACCCTGTTACCATTTCTCTGAATGATAAAGTTTACTGTGAAGACATTAACCTGCACTGAGGGCAAATCAAGATATAAATGTCTGTGCTGGCTGAGGTTGTCCTTCACAGATTAAGTCTCTTCAGGCAGAAGAAGTTTCTAAGGGGAAAATTCTTCCCACTATAATATCAGAAGAAACCAAGATTCTCCTGAGATATTGAATTTTTCTTTTTAATTTTCCTTCATAAGTTATGTTCCTGGAATTGTAGAAAAATATACATCACATGACTTACCTACTTTACTGTTTTCCTGTGGCTTCAAACTGACAAACTCCTGTTTCCCTCACCAGCTCTCTGCTCTCTTCTCTTTTCTCAAACCAGAAGCCAGTGTCCGCCAAGCAATACTAGACACAAACTCTGCCCAGCTCTGCAGGACCCTCCACTTCTTGTGTATGATTGTCACTATTCTATGACCCCTTGTAGGTCACTCCTATAGTACTCAACTTCTAGTGATTAGCTTATGTATCTTACAACCACTCAGGACGCTAAAATAAAAAAAGTTCATAGCCCTAGGTTTTGTTTTGTTATTAAAAGTTGAAAATAAAGCCAAATCTATGACTACCAAAAAATATGAAATAAATGAGTTATAAAACTGTCATTTTTCAATGTACACCTAGATAATTTTTTTTGGTTTTCTATTCATTACAAATGTATTTCCTTTGCCTTTTCTTTCCTGAAGATTTATTAATGTACAGAAATGCTACTACTATTTCTGTGTTGATTTTATGTACCTATATTGCACAGTCTAGGCACACAGATGACGTGGAATTCTATGTTGCCAAACCACTAAGAAACATTTCTCAAGTTTGGTAAAATTGGATGCCTTGAAGTCTTTCCTATCTTTTCTTTATTTAAAATAACTAGTTTTATTTCTGTTTTCCTGGTTTCATCTTTTTCAATTTTATGATGTTCTACAAAGTCATTTAAACCTGAGTTATCCATTCACATATTCATCTATTTTTAATTTTATTCTATACTTACACAATTTTTAAATTCTTTTTGTTGCTTTTGTACTTCCCTGATATGATAATTCCATTTATTTCACTTGCTTATTTTACTGATAGTTGGGTCATCTTCATCACCTTTTCTTTCTTGTTCCCCTTCTATTAATTTCCTCATTTCTCCTTCTGTCTTATTTTTCTATATTTCATGTATTATTCACTATTCTTGCTCCTCCTATTTCCATTCTGTCTCTACCCTTATTAATACCATTATGTAGCCTCATCTCACACTTCCCTTACTCTTTAATGCCTCTAATTTTCTTGGAGTAGTAGTAGTTAATATTTTGTAGTCATTTCTGTGTCAGTCCATTGTAGGTCATTTTGCATATTTTCTCCTCGCTGAATAGTGCTGGGGACTAGGCTTTGTGACTTGAGCATGTTAGGCAAATATTTGGTGACTGTGCTATGCCCAATTCACCAGGGTGAGAAGCTGCACAGCCCTGCCAAAAATCTTGGCACCACATGTGCAAATCCCAAAACATAAACATTAGAATTATTGGAAAACAAGGCAAAATGATTTTTAAATTGTCACCAATTCCACAACTATCTTGATACTGAAGTGGATGAAACCCTCAAAAAAGAAAGATTATGAGAATGATGAATGAAATCAAAGAGACATGAAAAAGAACCTGAATAAATACAAAGAGAATGCAGATAAATATCTAAGTAAAATTGTGAAGTGATTTTATATATGTCTTAAATTGTTCAAACCTATTGTACCCATCTATCAAATTGTCTTAATGAAACCCACTTGTACCTCAGTGAATGCATCTAAAAAAAGAAAGAAGTTAGAAATTATGAAAAAAAATTAAAATTTTAATTTGGAACAAAAGTTCAATACACCAAATAAAACATCCAAGTGTAAGAGTATCCAACAGAGTGGAATAAATAGAAGTCAGAGTGTTAGTCCTTGAAGAAAACTTAGGGTTTTTATATAATAATAAATTATTA